TATGGTGAGTGTAGAGAAACGGAGACCTTTTTACTGGGGAAAAGAGCCATTCCGTCTTAGTCCTCCCGGCTGACAACGCATCCGCATTTTGACAAACGAGAATAGATGATTTGCGGTGGTAGAGCCACGCAGCAGCTTTTGCTATTGCACGTATGGCCCGGCTCGAGCCGGGTTGGTACCACGACCTCACAGAATACCGGCGTGAAGTAGAAGCTCTGCTTCTGTGTTTCGTCTGGTGAGTGCAGGTGGCCGGAGGCCCAATTCCCCCCCCCCCCCATTAGCATGGTAGCGGAATTACACGAAAGACTACCCCAGGAGGTTACCAGTATCTCTGGAGAATCCCTCGCTGAGCATTCAGGACCATGTTATTCCAATCCTGAGCATGGGCAAAATTCCGCTTAAAAACATAACTGCTCGGGGCAAACTGAGCAACAATACCAAGGCGACCCCTGCCACGCCATCCGTGAATTTCTGCAACATCAGGGGACTTCACTCTAAGCTAAACGCCGTCCACTACCATCTCGAGACGGAGAAGCCAGCCTTGCTCTTTCTGACCGAGACGCAGGTTTCCCCTCCGGCTGATATTTCGTATCTCTCCTGCCCGGGGTACAAATTGGAGCACTCCTTTGTGCCTCGGGCCCCAGCGGTGGATCTGGTCTATGGCTTCACCGCCCACCAAGATTCAGCTGGGGAGTGTAGGGAGAGCGGTGCCTCGCAATACCGATACTCTTCTCCTCCCGTAGCCCCAACACCAGCGAATCAACAGTGTAGCCCCGTCATAGTGGTGAAGGATAAGGCGAGTGGCGCATTACCATACCAACATTCCCTTTCCTCCGCGACTCAACCTTGGCTGCAGCGGTAGGGGTAGAGTACACCACTCTCGCCGTAGCCCACCAACACATGTCGATCCTATCCTTTGTTCACTGCGGGTGACCAAGCTGCGGCTGCTAAGTCCCCCCGCCACGACAAGACGAAAACCCTTGCTGTGGCCTAAAGATAACTTTATCTATCCTCGATTAAGAATCAAAATGCGTTATCACCCCTGACAACTGCTAGCTGAGCTGCTATTATATGCTGGTATTTTGTGAGAGCGTGGTTCTCCTTTGTGCCTCGGGCTGGAGTTTGCGTGTATGTCAGAGAGGACATCTTTTCTCGACGCCTCGGCAGTCTAGAAGGTTCGGACCTGTCCATCCTTTGGCTACGCGTAGACAGCGACGACCATCTGCGCGTCTACGGGTGCCTCTATAGGTCCCATAGCGGTAATGTCGAAACAGACCGACTCATCGACCACGTCCAAATGGCTACAGATTCCTTGCTACAACAGGTCCCATCCGCAGAGATCGTGATCCTTGGCGATTTTAACGCCCACCACGCCGAATGGCTCGGTTCACGTTTAACCGATCATGCGGGGAGATCTGTTTATGACTTTGCCTTGACATATGGTCTGACACAACTGATTACTTCGCCTACGCGAATTCCACATGTGGAGGATCATACACCTTCCCTGTTGGACCTTCTGCTGACCTTTCATCCGGACGGATATCAGGTTTCCGTCGATGCCCCTCTCGGCTCTTCGGACTTCCGACTTTGTCTGATCCGGAGTATGGTGCCACTCACGCTCCCCTCGCGGTTGGCGGTACATAAAATATGAATATTGTTATTATTTAAGAACAACTCAATTTCTAGCTCTTTGCCTATTATGCCTTGTATATTTTGATGCAACAGGTGTAAACATTATTCAACAGGCATTACAGGTCGGCGGATTGGGAAGGAATGCGGTCGATGTGGTGCTACAGGGAATGGAACTATTTATTCCATCATCTGTGGTACACATCGGAGGCAGACCTCAGCCTTGGTTTGGTCGCTCCTGTAAGACTGCATTACGCAGTAAGCAGGAGTGTTATCAAGCCTGGGCTGCGGCTTCGGCGACTCAGGATGTAAACACCAGCACACTTAAAAAGAAGTATAACTTCGCCTCCAGGTCCTTCAAAAGAGTTATTGCCAAGGAGCACATAGGCAGAATTGGCGAGAAACTAGTTCGTCTCCCTTCGGGAACCCGTGCATTCTGGTCTCTCGCCAAGGCTGTCCAAGGGAATTTCTGTAAGTCATCACTACCATCTCTGCACAGGGAGGACGACTCACTGGCCCATGCCGCAAAAGACAAAGCCGACCTTTTAGGCTCCCTTTTTCCAACTCGACTCTTGATGACGGGGGGAAAACACCGCCGACCATCCCGCGGTGTGAGTGCTCCATGCCGGATGTGCTGTTCTCACAGCGCTCGGTTCGCAAAGCACTCCTCTCCCTGGACATTCAGAAGTCGAGTGGGCCTGACGGAATCCCCCCAATTGTCTGAGGACATGTGCTCCCAAGTTGGCACCGGTCCTAACTCGTCTTTTCCGGTACTCCTACTCCCAAGGCGTAGTCCCGAATTCATGGAAGACAGCTTTTGTCCACCCGATCCCTAAAAAAGGTGACTGCTCTGACCCGTCCAACAATAGGCCTATCGCGATCACGTCCTTGTTCTCCAAAATAATGGAATCCATTATTAACTGCCAGCTCATGCGGTACCTTGAGGATCACCAGCTGATTAGTGACCGCCAATACGGTTTTCGTCGGGGTCGATGAGCTGGTGATCTTCTGTTCTACCTGACCCATAGATGGGCGGAGGCAGTAGATTCCAAGGGGGAGGCGTTGGCCGTTAGTTTGGACATTGCGAAGGCCTTCGATCGGGTTTGGCACAAAGCGCTTCTTTTGAAGTTCCCTTCCTATGGGCTTCCCGAGAAATTGTGCAATTGGATCACCAGCTTCCTTGCAGATCGAAGCATCAAGGTCGTTGTAGATGGTGCATGCTCCGACTACAAGCCTATTAACGCTGGTGTTCCACAAGGCTGTGTGCTATCACCAACACTGTTTCTTCTGCATATCAATGATATGTTTCTAACTGGTAACATTCATTGCTATGCGGATGACAGCACTGGTGATGCTCTATACACCGGCCGTGCCAATATTTCTCAGGAAAACGTCGCCGAGTACCGGAACAAACTTGTGTCTGAAGTCGAGTCTTTGCTGAACAAAGTCTCGGATTGGGGGCGACTAAATCTAGTCCAGTTTAATCCTCAGAAGACACAAGCTTGCGCGTTTACCGCTAAAAAGAACCCCTTTGTCGTATCTCCTCAGTTTCAAGGCACTCCCCTTCTTGCCTCAGCCAGTATCAGAATCCTTGGAGTCGACATATCAAGTGACGTGCAGTTTCGTGGTCACTTGGAAGAGAAGGCCAAATTGGCCTCTAAAAAGCTTGGCGTGCTCAGCAGAGCGGGACAGTATTTCATGTCGGCACAGCGCCTGCAACTTTACAAGGCGCAGGTTCGGTCTCACATGGAATACTGTTCTCATCTCTGGGCAGGGGCTCCCCAGTGCCAGCTCCTTCCACTGGACATCATCCAGCGCAGAGCGGCTCGAATCGTCGACGACCGAGTCCTTTCCGATCGGCTCGATTCATTGGCACTGCGAAGAGATGTTGCATCCCTTTGCATTTTCTTTCGCATCTGCCATGGGGAGTGCTCTGAGGAATTGTTCGGATTAATCCCAGCCGCCAAATTTCACGAACGCACATCGCGGCAGAACTCCCGATACCATCCACACCATCTGGATGATTGGCGGTCCACCACTGTGCGATTTAGAAGATGTTTTCTTCCTCGCACGACTTCCTTGTGGAATCGATTACCATCAGCGATTTTTCCGGACCGATACGACTTTGGGATCTTCAAGAAAAGAGCGTACTCCTTTTTAAAAGGCCGGCAACGCATCTGCAATTCCCTCCCTGGTGTTGCAGTTGTTCATGGGCGGCGGTAGTCACTTACCATCAGGTGAGCCGCATGCTCGTTTGCCCCTCTCCTATAAAAAAATGTCTATGGGCCACAGCAACCACTCACCATCGGGTGGACTGTGTGTTCACCTGTCACCCTTATCATATAAGAAAGGCCCCCACAGAATACAATCGTGAAAGTATGGTTTGTGTACAGAACCGGAGACTATTTTCCGGATCCGTGTCAAACTTCCACATCAGGACTCCGTGCTCGCGTATTTACCTTATATATATCTTTATATATAAAAATTGCGTGTCACATTGTTTGTCCGCAATGAACTCCTATACTACTGAACTGATTTCAGTGAAATTTTCTGAATATTCGCACACTGTGTGCAGTTTGGCCCAACTTGAGAGATAGGATACTTTTTATCCCGATAAGTGACCTTCAATATTTTTTATTGCGAATTTAAGGATTTTTTATAGAAAGGGTCGTCGGAAAAGGCAGAACAACGTCTGCCTGGCCAGCTAGTATATATATATATATATATATATATATATATATATATATATATATACACACATATATATATATATATAATTTCAAGTCTCTACGCCTTATGATTCCAGATATATATAGAGACTTGAAATTTGGTAGGAAAAATTTTGCAGTGGGGTTGTTAGTTTACGGCTTGCAGTCCACCTCATTAACACAAACCCTTAAATACTAAGAGGAATTACGAGTACATCGTAGTCTATAATTATGCTTATTTCTCTATCCTTCAATCCGAAACATTAGTACTGCTATAAATTGTATTTTATCAGTTGAAATAACTGCTTAACAAGTGGTACAATAAAAAACAATTGTACAACCGACTTCAATACAAATAAAATGAGAAAATCATTTATGTAGTCGTCGTCAATTAAATACGCATTATTAAGGATAACTCAAAAACTACTGGAACACATAAAAAACACCAGCTTTCGAATAAAAAATCGGTTCACCTAGAAAAAAATTCTGAAGTAACACACATAAAAATATACAATCGAATTGAGTACCTCCTCTTTTTTTTGAAGTCTGTTAAAAATTGAGTCCTATTTCAACGCTCAGAGTTAATTCCTTTCTTTATTTCACTCCATATTTTATTCGAATCAGTTCTTAGTACTATGCGTATCACGTTCACTCTTGTTCCAGGACGTCCTAGTGCTCCTAGATCTACTTGGCTGTCCTGACCCAGTATTCTACAGTTACTTCCAAGCAACCGAAAAGTGGTATGTCCGGTTGGCCAGCGCTGAACAGAGGCTCGCAGAACTTGGACAGTTGAACGCGTACTCTGTTGGCAAGGAGGAGCAGACATACTTCAGGCTCAGGAGTTCCGGGTCGTTCATTGAAGACGACCATATACCATTTTTAAGGAGAAGTAAGTATTTTTTTATATAATACTGATGTGACTAACGAACTTATTTATGCTTATAATAATTAAACGCTGTTCAATTTTAAGACGCCGCGCCGTTAAGTCTCGTGCTGTCTCTATCACTTTCTATCAAAGTGACTGTGAGACCACGAGACTTACGACGTCTTAAAATTGAGTAGCGTATGAGTATTTGGCCATTAGTCCATCTGATGATAAATGGGTACTGCAGTCCATGCAGCCAATTTCAAACAAAAAACACCACAGATGCGTACTCACCTCTGAGAACTAAGATGGAATTCATCACAGCATGTAATTATACTGACTCTCTATACGTTCAGACCTGGACACAACGGTGCAAACACTGTTGATTACCGGCAGAAACAAGTGAGAGGCTGGTACTTACCCAGACGGACTCCCTATGTAGGAAACGGGTCCTACAATTAGACAGAGTTCATTTTATTCATAACTAGCTATTCCTCGCGACTTCGCCCGCGTGTTATTTGGGGTTTTAATTTGTTTGCGCAGAACCCTAATTCTTTTTCTAAAATAAAATTAGCCTAAGTTACTCCTTGTGACATCAGCTATCTGCCAGTGAAAATCCCGTCAAAATCGGTCCAGCCGTTTCGGAGATTAGCCGGAACAAACAGACAGACAGACAAAAATATTTAAGAAATGTATTTTTGTTATAAGTACCGTTTATAATTTCATATGCATTTAGTAATAAGCTGTAATTTTGACATTACAAACAGACACTTCAATTTTATTTATTTTTATAGATTATAGATTTAGGTCAAACGCCAATTTGAGCTCTTTAACAGATTGTTGAGACGTGATAGCTCAGGAGCTCAGCGCTCGCTGTAAATTTCACAGTACGCGAGCAACCCCGGTTTAATCCCCGCCGGCACTAATGAAATTTTTAATTGCAATTTTAAGTGCTGATTTACCACGTAGGACGTGAAGGAAAACATCGTGAGAAAACCTGCATCTCTGAGAAATACGAAAAAAATATTTCGAAGACATGTGAAGTTTGAAGGGCAGCGCACCGGACATTTCTTTGCCCTAAAACCATTGAGTTATATGTACTACAAACTAGAGAAACTATTCCAAACAAAAATTGTGCGTTACTCTGTCTTCGCTCATGCGCGGGAGATAGTAGAGTCGCGTATGCGCGAAAACTTTAACTTAATATAAAATAAGTTATTAATATAAAATAAATATAAGAATTTAATATAAAATACTCTTATTTTGATCTAAATAAACATATTTCTAAATAAAATGTAATAATTATTATCTTATGGAATTCACAAATCTTCAATTTACGCAATACATATTTAGTTTAGTGTACGGATTGCAAAACAGTTTAGTTGAACATAGTCAATGTTCGGAATGCGAAATCTAGTGCGTAGTACATAAGTATATACATAAAAAACATAAATAAACACTCACGCCTGTCACCCAGAGGGGTAGGCAGAGATTATGGACTTCCATTTGGCACGATCCTGACACACCTCTCTCGCTTCCTCCACATCCATATACCTACGCATACACGCTCGTCGGTTAAAGGTACTCTTGATTTGGCCCATTTTTAATGTATCGCCAATTTGGTCGATAAACTTTCGCCTAGGGCGACCCTTCCCGACTATGCCGTTCACCTCTGCAACATAAATTTGCTTTGTCACTCTTTCCTCATTCATTCTTTCTACATGGCCAAACCACCGAAGCATTCCTTTCTTAATCCTGGTCACAACATCATCTTGCAAACCACACTCTTCTCTTATTAAACAATTTCTCACTCTGTCATTCAGCTTCATCCCTAACATACTCCTTAATGACCGCATTTCTACAGCATTTATTCTACTCTCATGCTTCTTCTGCCACACCCAACTTTCACTACCATACATTAAAGTAGGTACTAACACAGCATTGTGAATTGCCATACGTGCCTTTTTGGACACATTCTGACTTTTCACAATAGAGTGTAGAGCCCCATTCACTCTATTTCCTGCATTCACTCGTCGTTCTATATCCTTATCATATCTACCATCCCTGCTAAACACACATCCCAAATATACAAACTCATCTACTTGCTCTACCAACTCCCCTTCTATTCTTATTTCACATATCGTTTTACTTTCTTCTCTTTCAAAAACCATAACTTTCGTCTTACTTGCGTTCACTTTCATTCCCTTTTCTTTTAATGTCCTATTCATTAATGTAACCATCATTTGCAACTCGGCTGCCGACGACGCAAGTATGACTTGATCATCGGCGTACAAAAGGCATTTGACGGTTAACTCACCCATTCTTAACCCGCATTCTTCTACTTTCAAATTTTCCAAACAACTGTCCATAAACAGGTTGAACAACCACGGGGAAGCCACACAGCCCTGTCTGACACCTTTATGGATGTCAAACCAGTCCGAGTAGGCCCCGTTGATCCTGACACAAGCACTAGAGTCCCTATATAGAGACTTCAATGCCTGTATCAGACCAGCGCTCAACCCAAATGAGTTCAGTGTTTGCCATAACACATCCCTGTCCACTCTGTCATAAGCCTTATAAGTATATATCGATGCCTAAAACTCTCTCAGAAATGAGAGGAGGCCTGTGCCCAGCAGAGGCTGTAAGTTTAACTTTAACAGATTGTTTGTCATGTGCGTGCAGGGGTAAGAGACTACATCGCCCCATTTCGTCCCGTGGGTGTCGTTTGATTGCTTCGTTGGTCAAGTGGTCGTAAGCACGCCCGCTGATCATGTAGTGTCGGGCCAGGCTTAATATCAGTTATTGGGCTTTTCGTCGTGCCTCGGAAAATACCTAAAGCCTTTGGTTCTGCGTCTGATCTCTCTCCGATCGTGTATGATGGCCGTCTCTTTGGACTTTGAGAGTTACTGAATATATAATGCACCTATGCTTTTTTTACGCATACACGCGTACACTATAATCCTGACATGCGCAGATGGCTAGTCTCCATTAAGACTCGCTGCCGTGATTGAATTTAGATCTGGAGGAAGATATTATTATTATTTCGTTTACGGCAAACGTATAATACCCATACCGTAGACGGACAGCAGCGTCGAATCTATCATAAATACATCTATTCTTGATTAAGAATTAAAATGCAGAAGCTTTGTCACCCTGAGTACTAAGATAGAATGCCTCATTTCCAGTAAAAAGGGTCTCCGGTACTCTACATTCACCATACGAAACACAGCAGAATTGAGCTGCTATTTCAGCCCTGGTATTCCGTGAGAGCGGGGTCCTTTCCCGGTCAAGTCGACCCATATGTGCTACAATCATAATATAGCTGTAGTAGAGTTCTACCACGTATAAAATATCTCCAGTGGAAGGTAGGATTTGCTTTGATCGTCACGCTTGGCAGGCGGATATATTGAATGTATTTTTTTACTTTTATAACTGTTCATAGAACCTTCCATCCTGGGTGTGGTACAAGTAAGAAACCCAACGGGTCTTATTGTTTTTGTACAAATTAATTATCCCGCCCGGAATGCCCCAAAAATTGGTTAATTAATTATAATTGGCGAGAAGGCCCAGCTATAGTTCTTCTGATGCTGGCGAAGGGCCAAAAATGGAGTGTTGATTAAAATGACCAACTGCTGGTTCAAAATTATTAAAAGGATGATTTTGCGTAAATTAATGGACTGTATGAATTTAGTATTTCGCGATACTGCAAATGCTCCTAAATTCTGGCTACAGGAAGGATGTGAAGGAATGCTTGTGCACTCACCTGAACTTCTACTCTTCCTCGTGTCTCAAGGGCTGCGGCCAAGACGGTTAGATGTCGACAGATCATCGCGAAATATCGCGTTATAGCAAATGTCTATATACTTTACTATATTTTTGTATAGTTTAATATCTAAATTACACAACGGCGGGAGCGATGACGTGAGTTATAGGCGGTGCGGTTGGTTGCGTGTCTTCTGACTTCTGAGCTTGTGAGAACCCCGTTAACATAAGAGTGCACATGCTAGGCATAAAAGGCGGTAGATAGGAAACCCTGAAACGGGCTTTGCAGTACTTTCATTGGATAATAATCAACGAATCTCATAAGCGTTAGGCGGTACGAGTAGTGCGAAGTGGCGCGAACGAATCTCATAAGCGTTAGGCGGTACGAGTAGTGCGAAGTGGCGCGAACGAATCTCATAAGCGTTAGGCGGTACGAGTAGTGCGAAGTGGCGCGAACGAATCTCATAAGCGTTAGGCGGTACGAGTAGTGCGAAGTGGCGCGAACGAATCTCATAAGCGTTAGGCGGTACGAGTAGTGCGAAGTGGCGCGAACGAATCTCATAAGCGTTAGGCGGTACGAGTAGTGCGAAGTGGCGCGAACGAATCTCATAAGCGTTAGGCGGTACGAGTAGTGCGAAGTGGCGCGAACGAATCTCATAAGCGTTAGGCGGCAGTGCGAAGTGGTGCGAACAGTTTTAAAATAACACTAGATGACGTGTCTCCTCATTCTAAGTCAGGATATCAAGATATTTAAAAAAAACACCTTTTTTCGTATGCTTTTGTACATCATAGTTGGGCGCATATCTTCTTTAACGAAACCAACGCAACGAAACGGGGTGATGGATTTGTTAACGCTACCATCACACGGCTTTATATCCTGTTATCATAGAATTATTACGCATAGAAACGCAGTCCAGTACAAAACACGAGCGTTAAAATGATGCAAAGTCATTATGTTAGTGGGCGCGAGTCGAATGTGCCTACGCTCGTCACACGCACACATACACGCCATTCAGTGATACCAGTGTCTGGCGTTTGCAATCAAATTGTGCAAATCAATATTTTTTGATTAATTTAAAAAAATCGATATAATAAAGATTACGTATTACGTACGAAGATATATTTTATGAGAATATAAAATGGAATAAAATAAACACGATAATGATGGTACTAATATAACTTAATTATACATATTTTAATGGTACAAAAATACAGACGTAATAAAATTTAAGAATATTATTAAACACAATTAATTTGCTCGA